TGGGTCCGAGAGCTGTGGCAACATAGGAAAGGCACTCCAGCAATGGGAACATTTCTCTTGATTGGTCTGACACCTTGTTCCATCGTTGAATGAGTGCGGGCATAAGTGTCTGGACGAGTGAGTCGTCTGCCAGTGCAGGTCCGACGTGTTCGGCCAGTGTCTGAACGCAGTCGTAAAGGATGAACATATTCCGGTCCTTGTACATGGCAAAGCACTGTACGAACTGCTTGACAATAACGGGACAGTAAGGGGTGAGCTCAACGTTGGCCTTCTCTTCGAGGTTGGCAAAGGCTGATGCTGCGGCTTCCTGAACGCGCTTGTTCGTGTCGAGCATCTTCACAAGAATGCCTTCCATCATGGGCATAAAGAACTGGTTCTTGCCAGCCGGGTCGAGGTGTGCCGCCCATCCCGAGTAGCGGCCGAGGGTCCAGCATGTGATTTGGCGCACAACAGGCTTCGGGTCGTTCAGTAGTGTCAGGAGGAATGGAGTGAGCATGGGAAGATGCGGCTCCACGACCTCCATGCAGCCATCCGCAATGGCGCCAAGAGCCAGAACTGCGGACTCCCGGTTGGGCCATTCGGCGTGATTAAGGTTGTCTGTGAGGTATGGAAGAGTCGCCTGGAATACGGCCTCGTGGAAGACGGATGCGAGAACATCAAGGGCCGCAGCGGAGCACTTTCGGAGGTTCCACATCTCCTCAGGGTCGCCGAACTCGTCATCGTCGTCGAAGTCGTCAATCTCACCGTCGCTGAGACCGTCGTCATCGCCTGTGGGTAATCCGGCTCCATTCGAGCCTGGGACCGTCTCACCGTTCGCGTTTGTGGTAAGTCGCGCGGCCTTGCTTGATGCAAACTGAGGTTTGATGTCTTGTTCCCGATCCTCCTGCTCGTAGTCCTCCTCTTCACCCTCTAGACGGAGGATCTCATCCTCGCTATACACCATGCTGGATAGCAATACAGGTATTATCTTGGCCAGATATGGTCCAAGGTGGTCCCTCATCTTCTCGTCCTCACTGGCGCACAGCCAGAACTCGGCCGCGTCCAAAGCCAAATCTGCATTGTTCTCGGTGCGCTGCTGTGCGACCATGAATTCGACCAGTCCTTCCATGTGTGGTATTATCATCTGAGGGGCAATGTCGGCGATGTGGACAAAGGTTCGGCAGACGTGTTTCCGCACGTCTTCGCTGGGGTCAGTGGCTAGTTTGAAAAGCTGCTGCATGAGCATGTCGATGTTCGCGACGACGGCCTGGGGCTTCTCGGGGACGAATACGTTGATAGCGGCCAATGCGTCGGCGCGTACTCGGGGCTGGGGGCTCGTGGTGAGTTCGAGCAGCTGGGGGAAGAGGAAGTTGAGGGGCTTTTGTCCTTGGTAGTCCCGGTCCAGAGCCTTCCTGTTGTCCTCGCAGATCTTGAGTAGCGCACCCATGGCGCCTTCTTGCGCCTGTGTCGAGACATTGCCGTCGGCGTTGCTGACCATGCCGACCAGCTCTGAGAGAATCTGGGGCCAGCCCATGATAGAGCCCTGGCGCACAATCTCAGTTATGACATTTCCCGCGTAACCCCGTATTTGCGTAGTTGAGTCTTGCAATCCCGCAAGTATCACTGATCGTATGTAGTCTTTGGTGGAGTCGGGCATCGATTTGTAGCCGGTCTTGATGTCGTTCTTGAGCATAACGGCAGCCGCAGCGCGCGTCTGGAAGTATTGAGAGGCGTCCATGTTCACGACGGACGGAGGCTGGCTGCTGGAGAAGATGTAGGCAAGGTACTTGTCGATGTCAGGTGAAGTTTGGGCCGATTTGAGCATCTGTGTGGTCGCCGCGGTCAGCACATTGCAGCAATGCGATGCATAGCAGCGACAAACGAACCTCTCCGGCATTCTTGCGCGCATTCTGATCATGGCCGCTCAGCGAGTCCCTCAGACACTGCGCCAGCTGTCGCAGGGGCTCCTCTTGGGGTTGCCACGCCATATTTGCGGTGGATTACTTCGCAGTGCGGGGAAGGTGTGTGCGAGAGTCTAGTAGCACCCTCGAATTGGGTATGTGCGGAAAAGCAGGGCTGCGCTGCGGAGGTGAAGCAGGCGGAAAAAAGAGTAGACCCTGGCGACTTAAGCTTGTTCTGCTGGTACGCTTCATGGTTAGCTCTGATGGGGAAAGCCATGGGCGAATGAACAATGAGGGGCAGTGCTCACCAGCCTTTCACGCGAAACAGACAATAGGGTGGGCTACAAGGCGACGAACATGTTTTTCTAGCGGCCGACAAATTATTTCCTCGCTGTAATATTTTGCGTGTAGTGCAACAAGTTTGCTCGAGAATGACGCGGGAGCCCGTAACGTGCAGTGGGTTCTGCTTGCGACCCAATTGTGCGCAGCGGGCGGTGAGCTAGGAAGGAGCAGCTGCCGTGCGACTGAGTCGAGGATGCGAGCGCAGTCAGCCTTTACCAAGGCCGAGACGGTGAGCTTCAGGGGCGGTATAAAGCGGGCGAGGTCGTAATCTCAGTGAGTGCGCGTCTGCTGGGGTGATGTGCCTGCTTGCGACCGCCCAAGTCGGGCGGGCTCGGTAGAAAAGGGCGACGTGACTGCGAGACGCGTGCAAGGCATTCCCCAGCTCTTCCACGCCAACAAACAAAGTCGCCCTCATCGCGCCTCATCATTCACACGGTATGTCAATGGTCGATATTGCGCGGTAGTCGAAAACAGCACCTGTCATCAGCCGTCTGTTGTACAAGTCGGTGCTTTTAGCACACGTCGTACCGCAGCACCTGCATCGTGCTCCTGCTTCAATAACGCTGTCCGGTATCGCGTCAGTCGAGAATTGACATCCGGGCAGCACCTTAAAGGTCATGTGAGGGCTCGGGGAAATCACGTGCATCGCCATCGCTCCTTCCTGTTCCAAGGTTGTCTCACTTTACTAGCTCAACGACCCTTACTCCTCGACCTCACTTCCGGAGACCCCGTGAGGAAGTCTCAGAAGCCTCAAGAACGTCAAGGCGCAATCATTTCTCTCAGTCACGCAGTACACTACCCGTCTTCGAAATACATTTCTCCACGCTCAAGGCACAGCACAGCCCATGTGCCAGCAAGACGTCGACAACACGAGCCAGTCGTCAAGAGCCAGAAGGCGCCGACAACGGAAGTCACATTGTGATGGTCAATGACCCACTGTGAGAGAGGTACAGGACTGCTTTCGGACAGTCTCCATTGCTCATTTGGATGCTTGCGTGATTCGCGTGTTGCATGACATGGACATATTGGGTTCCTGTGCTATGATGATAGTACAGTTGAGCCTCCTTCCAGTTACACAAGGGCGACTGCCCCATGGCTGCCAGCAAGACGAACGCAACACACCTGGTCTACAAAGAAGACTGCGTCGCTAGGACCTCGGCATCCTCAATTGATGACAAAGGACGAGGGTCTGTATCAGACTTGAACTACCCGCAGCCTGTGTCTATGAGCTGCGTCTGCAGGGGCCGTCTCTATGAAGTCAGAATATCATGCCAATGAATACCCCCACGGACAGTTGTCTACTACTGGATCCGCGTGCGACTTCATGCAATTTTAAGTTACACCATTCCGAACAAACATCTGCGCGAATGTAATGTTGACGATGTCATCTGACAATGGTCGACACTAACTCCTCTCCTTTGGGTCATGCACGAAGTCATCACTGAATCTACCTCTCCTTTGAGAAAGCATGGTCTTTCTCCGAACTTCCAACCGCTTCCTCTAAGCTATAAAGTCGTGTATCATACGCCTTATTCGACAACTCATGACTATTTTCGCTTCTTCTTCATTGCTGTATTGGAGCCGCTATCGATTACTCAGGGTACGAGCTTTGACGTCGTTGACGTCAATGGCGAGCGGGCCGGCATCATATCCGTAGAACAACGCAAGACTGATATCCAGGCGGTGTGTGATGGAAGCGCGGGACAAATTCCAGTGCAATCGGCCATTTAACACAACATGATGTCAACAGGCTATGAAGTCGTCGCGACTCAAAGAAGTCCCCTTGCGTGATGAAAAAGGATGAACCATATTGCTAACTTCAAGACATCAAGACGAGCTCAAAAGAGCACTTCGCTTGCTATGTATGCGGTAACGAGATATTGATAGGGCTTACCAATATCAGGCACAGACACTAGCTGCTGAAGCGCCTTTGAAGGCGGCTCTGCTATGTTGGTGTTTCAGGACTGTACGACATGGGTTCGCCAGTGGATCGAGTGCCTCAGAAAGCATTTCCCCGCGCTTGAACAAAAGCAATCGCGTCAAGGGCTAATTTTGGCCTGTCTATTCTGGCATGTCTGGAGTAGCGATATGTCTACTTTTTGCGAGGGACCAGAACCGAGAGTGATGCAAGTATAGCAATTTCTGTTGTGTCGTAGGAAGGCTCGCAGCCTTCTAGAAGAGTAGTGCACGCATGATGTCGTGGCCATGCAAGGCTGAGTTGGTTTTTCGGTCTGGATTGCTGCGCGACGACTACCATGGTCGAGATTGCCGCTTCAAGACGGCGATGGGAGCCAGCGCAATGCTAAGGGACGCCGTTGAAGCCTACGAAAGTATTGATTTTCCCAAGTGTGGTGTTTCGCGGCGAATCTGTAACGTGACGGGTAGATCGGCAGAATCCAGGACCGGGGGCTCAGAGTGTCGTGTGCAGGCGGAGGTGGCAAAGCGCCGCGCGATTCCAAGCCAAGCTGCGTCAGGCACTTGACGTCTCACGCCGATCTCACAATCACGCCAATCCATCATCACACTTCGACGCCTTTCCTTCACCCTCACCCACGACGGCGCACTGCTACCGACGGCGATTCGCACCTTCACCACGCCCCATCGCGTCGCTGCCCTGTTGCCAGCTCTGCCAGCCATCCGCCGCGGCACGTCAACGAGTGGTTACCGGCCCCCACTGATCCGTCCAGCGACTCCACTGGACGACTTCATCCCGGAACGAGCGCTGCTGCGCCCATCGCACCCGCCCTCACCGAGTCGCAACCCCAATAGCACTCGATTATGCTGCCTCAAGAGCCGCTGCAAGCGGGCTCGCCGCACACGACGCTCTCCCGGTCCTACTACCCGACTGGCAATGCGCCCTTTGCGCATGCCACCATCCTTACCGGACAACCGGCCTCACAGCTTGATGACGTGCGGATATCAAGATACAACAACACTCTCGGCTCGACGGCCAAGGGCATCATGATAGGCATATTCTCCGTGCTGGGCGCTGCGGGCGTGTGCCTTATCATTGCCGCCATTGTTTACTACTTCCGCTACACCAACACAGGACGCATCTTCCTCGACCGGATAACGCGGCCGGGTGAATATGACGACGAACAACAGTTTGCCAAGGAGGAGGCCGAGGCGCTAGAGGATATGGACGACCTGCAAAGAACAGAGTACATGAGAGCGAAAGGTATCCCAGGTAGCTCATTGTGCAGAAAGAGCACCAGCTAACCTCCACAGCTTTTGTGCAAGCAAACCCACCCGAATCCGTTCAAACCGACATATCACTATCGCAATTCTTGGCTATACAAGAGAAGGGAGTGTCTGCATGGGAATTTGAGCCCGAACTGGAGATCGCCAACTGCTTTGTCGAAGGCCGCACGGAAATCGAGTTTTTCGATTCGGAGTGCAGCGTCCAGAGCAACCTCCCGATACCGAAGCAGAACGAAGTCTACTACTGGGAAGCCAAGGTCTACGAGAAGCCCGAAAACACTAGCATTGCGATAGGCGTCACAACGAAGCCGTACCCGTTGTTCAGACTACCAGGTATGTCAACGACAACGCCTTCTCGTCTTTCGTCTACTAACATTCACCAGGATACCACAAAGCCTCGATATCGTACATGTCCAACGGAAACCGCCGATACAACCAGCCCTTCCAACCCTCCGCTTACGGTCCATCTTACGTGCAAGGAGATGTCATTGGTGTTGGATACAGACCTCGAACAGGAACAATCTTCTTCACGCGAAACGGAAAGAAACTCGACGACGTCGCTCACGGACTCAAGACACAAAACTTCTTCCCCACCGTAGGCGCAAACGGCCCATGCCAAGTTCACGTCAACTTCGGCCAAATGGGCTTCGTCTTCATCGAAGCCAACGTCAAAAAATGGGGTCTAGCCCCTCAAACCGGCAGCCTCGCACCCCCACCCCCCTACGGCAGCGAACAAGGATCCATACTCCTTGACTCCGGCCGCGAAGGCATAAGAGAAGGCATGGGTGGAAGCTACATCCAAGCCGGTTTCGGTCACGGCCGCTCCAGCAGCCAGCAAATGCGTCTCGGACGCCAAGTACCGACGAGCCCCGGCCCGCAACGCAGTCCAACCGACATCTCATTAGCCGCCCTTAGTCTGGTCGATTCTAACGAAGATGTTGGTGAAGGGACTAGCCACGATGATCACGCGACGACCACAATCCCCGTAGACCAACGTCAAGGTCTTGGACTTCTGTCACCTGGCGAACTCCCTCCGGAATACAGTAGTCCTGTCGGCTCGCCCAACTTGCGCAACACGGCCGATCACGAACGAAACGGATACTGGGACGAGCGAGCACCGCTCCTACAGAACCAGCAGCAGTCTGGCGAAAGAAGTCCACCTGTCCCGAGCTATGATGCCGCGATGGCTGATACACCTGAGATACGGCGTCCTGCTATCAGAGTGAGGAGCGCGACGGAAGCTGGTGTCAGGCCGCGTGGACCCCGCTGATGACTTGGCCATTTTTCCTTGTGTTACTCTACTCCATTGTTTCGACGAATCCGAGAGGAAGGATTGCGTCTTTTCACTATACCCTATCGCTCAACTTTTTCCTTTTTCCTATCTTTGTCGGGGCTGGATCCATCTCATTGCGAACGATCATTATTGATCGGACGCACCGCTGTGGAGAATTTCTCCATGGACTGCATGGGTGGCAGCGAAACATATCTTTTGAGCAGGTTGATATCTCACCAGTCCAACCTTACCTGGCGTTTATGGAAGCGAGCATTGTTACGTTTATTTTTGCTTGCTTTCTGGGTGGAGTCACGAATGATTAAGCACACGAATACTCTTGTTGCTGGGCGTTTTGAAAGGGATAGATTGGCTCGATGTGCGTTGAAGCGCGTTCAAATTGGATTGCGGCTGGCTTTGGCTACTCATGTGGTAGCTTTTGGGTTGTAGTAGTAAAGCGATGAGTTGTTTGGATTGTCAATACACACGCTCTCCCACTTGCGAGAATTATCATCTCATTCCTCCTTTCTATCTACCCTGCTTGTTATCAATCCTAGCATGAACTTCCTGTGGCTAACAGCAGTTAAGCTTTCACCAGACACACGGTCTACAAACATCCTTTTCTTACTATCGAATCGCACGAACATACACATTCTGTCTCCATAGAGACCCATGGTACTCTTCCAGGTTGCCATACTTGGCGTACCAAAATGAAGAACTAGCGCTCGCTCAATTTGTCGGAGAACTGATCTCTCGTCAGTTCCTCCTGAACGAACAAAGAAATCGCCACCACCTTCGTTACCTCCTACGGTACAAGCACAATGTCCACGAACAATCTATGGGCGGACAGTCCATATCCATGGCGCAATCCCGCCATCATCTTCGAATCTCTACCAAGATCACTCATCCTCGCCGACCTAAAACGATCCTGGCACTTCCAAAGAGAAGCCCACTTCCGCTGGATGCAAAAAGTGATCTGGACCTCAGTTGACCGCTATCGTATCGTCCTTCGAGACGTCGAAGGCACCGTAGGCGAAATAGCAAAGGAGCTATGCAACAAGCCCACGGCATTCTACTGGCTTCAGTCGGCACAAACAGGTGCGCCCCACGCCCCCGAGAAGACTTGCATGTCCGGTGGTGTCTTTGCTGCTATATACGAAGAATGGGGACGGAGTCGTGGCAAGCTGAATATTGAGTTTGGGCATTTTTTCGCTGCGCCCGTGAGAGTTGCGGGTACGGGTCCATCGAGTTTACCAGATATCTTGAAGGCGCATTCGTCGCTTTGCGCGCAAGCACGGCGTATCTCGTTGGATATGGATAACTACTCCGTGCATTCGCTTCTTCCTACCGTTGTCCTCGTATGCGACCGTCGTGACTCAACCGCTAGATGTGGTTCAGACGGCTTCGTTAGTCTACGCGAAGTAGCGAGCACGCAGACTGTGCTTGTCATTCTCACCGGGGAAGATCGTACCAACACCGGTATCCACATTTCACTAGATCCTCTCAAACCATTCGCTCTGCCCATCGAAAGACCCGATGCCACTGGCCTTGTTATTCTGCGCGTGCCCCTTGATATAGCCGTCAGGTTTATCATCGAGTTGGAAGGCAGGATTGATGAGCGAGAGGGAACAAACAGTGCAACTTTAGACAAGAGTCTCTGTCTGCACCAAACACCTGTTGGATACAGTCGCGACATCAGGTTTTACCCCAATGTATGGGCTCGAATAATGCGGGCAGAGGCGTTGAAGATTGGGTTTAAGAAGTTGGAAGATACGAAGTTTGCTGCTGTACGCGTTCATGCTCAGCTTTCTGGGGAAGAGTCGGGTTGTGAACTTGAACATGTGCCTTTTAGCCAGAGGTGGAAAGAATGAACTGACTTGCGTTTTTGGGTTGGTTCTTCAATGTGGGATCGAGGAATACGCTGCGTGCAAAGCTTGGAGCCGGGTCATTGGCAGTAGCAGAAAAGCTGGTGCGTTTTTAAGCTGTAAGTCTACCTTTCGAATCTCTAAGGGCGCGTCGCTTACATTCTTGTTCCACCATTTCATGATACTGTTATTTTGATGTTTGGGTGGGGGAGAGAAGGAAGGAACGAGGGAGAGAAGAAAGAAGCAGCGTGTATCATCCATGAAGAAAGAGCTTCACGAACTGTCCCTACCTCTTGATGTTGTGTTTACCATCGCCTTCCAGGCTTTCTCATCTGTAGACTGCACCGTAACTTTCGCAACATGTCAAGCCCTCTCGAAGTCTACGAATCCGCGATCACGAACGGAAAACGGCTACGCAAAGAGCAAACCAGTTTTTGAGATCAGCCACGTTTGCCCGCCTCGCTTTCTTCGTGTGGCTACAATGTGAAGTCGTGGAGGCTACGCTCCAACACCGAGAATTCTCTCGGGAGAGTGGAAATATCGTGCGGCATAATGATCAGTAATTCGACATATGTCGAAGTTCGCTCTGTGAGTGAAGAGGAGTAACGAGGCGACGATGGTGGCGTTGTGCTGATTGTGTGATAGGATGCGGCAAGAAGCTTGCCAGCTACGATGATTTTGTGGGCACTTGTTGGACCTTGGCAGCCTGTACGTATGCGGCAAGCGAGACGTTGACGAAAGCATGACCGGGGAACAATGGTGTTGTCGTTTTCTTGGTTCCTCGTGATGGACGTGGCTTGCTCGATGCTCTCTTCCAGAGGTGTGAAGCGAGATTGCTCAGCCCCTCATCGCTCGAGGCTGTGAGTGAGGCTGTGAGGTGCGCCACGTGGGCGTCAACGACCGTGTCTCTCCTTCCAATTACAACCACCTTCCTCGCGAATTCCACTGCATGCGACACAATCACATCTCTCTTTGTTTGTATCGCCTTCGTCTCGCGACTTTCACCCAAGAGCATACGGCTGCGTTTCTGGCGACATCAAAGCTATCGCAAACATACTGTATACTCCAACACAATTTCGATGGCCTGCCCGAAATAAGACCAGGCCCTAGTCCAAGTCAAGAGCGCAATCTTTTCCTCTTTGTGTCTCTCGCGACGATGACTACCTTTTCTACCTACAACAACATAACCGAAGTTGACTTCCAAACCCTCAGTGTGAGCGGCTTTTATGGCCCAGGCGCATGGGCAGCCTGGTGCGTCACACTCATCGCATCCTGGGCACCTATTCTCCGCGACGAGTACACACATAACCTCCACTATATTACCTACGCGATGTATATGAACGCAGCCGCTATCGATGTCTTCCAAAACGTCCACATGGATCGCAAATTCGACAAGCTAGCTTCGGGTGTGAAGGAGTCGCTCCGTCAAGCAGCAGAAGCGGGGATACCTCTTTCTCGAATCCTTGGGGAAGCAGGGGATAAGGAGAGTCTTTGCACAGTGCGGACGACCGGCATTGGTAGTGAGGAGAGTATTACATTAGCAACAGCTCGATTCGGGCCATGGATATGGAATGCAACGGAATTCGAGGAACAGGCAACCCCCCACACACCTCAAGACAAGAGTCGTAATACAGAGGACTTCCAAATTCTCCTCGCCACTCACATGAAAGCCTGCCGCCAACTCATATCGCAGTGGGTTCAATCACGCGCCGCCATCTCCATTCTCAATCTAGGCTCTCTGAACGCAAGCTTCCAACTCTTGTTTACCATACGGAAGAATCTTCGCGTTATCGGTAGTAAAGCGTCTTCTGTCGACCTTGCCATTGTCCGTCGCAATCTCATCATATTCATGGGTCAGATTCTTCCTTCGATTGCCCTGTATCTCCGTCTTCTTGACCATCGTCATGACGTCCAACCGCGGTGGGTGGGCGGCGTTATAACGAACATGGCCTTCTTGGCATCAACGTCGGTCATGATGATGCTGAGCATGCTCGTGATTTCAATTTATGGCAACTTGCCCACAGATGTCGGTGCGATGCTTAGTCCGCTGTATGATATCTTGATTGGGGCGGCGATGATTGGGCGATGCGTAAGGACAGTTTTGGTTGGGGTTTTCGTGGAGAGAGGGATCAAGGGGAGGTGCTTGCTTGTGCCGTGTACGCCCGTTAAGATGTCGGAGTTCGATCAGGCATTTGCATTGTTTGCTGCAATAGTGTATTTTCTGTATGAGTTCGGAATGGCGATCCCGAAGGGTTATCGATTTCTTGTGTTGAGGATTAAGAGATTAGTGCAGAGACTGTGGCTTTGGACGTAGAGATCGGTTCAGAGACTGTGGCTTTGGACGCAACCACATCCCAGAACGATGACATAGGTCGGACGACTACTCCAGCATCTACGCTCATGATAATATGGGAGGACGAGTCAGTGGAGCTCAGTGTACCATCGTCGCAGGATATCTATGGGCACCGCTCACGATAATATCCATTATGTTCCATTCTCCTTCATTCGGATTATCTGGAACCGAGAGTACACAGTCATCTCGTCGTTGATCCCTCATTCACAACATACCCGATCACACTAATGCCCGTATGAACAGCATTACTTCCACACCAGCTGAACCAACCCTTCTCTTACCGCCGTTTCGAAGATCAAAGCATGCCCTCACTACTCCCTGCTGAAGAAAAATATACGGAAACGGCAGGATACATGCCCATCATCGGCAAGTCCGAAGCATCGTCATCATCAACTACAGCACTCGAAAGTGGAACCATACATTCGCAATACATCTAAAGGTATCTGCCATATCTCCACAAAGGTTTCAAACAACTGTCACAATGTTTGACCAAAGCCATACTCCACATCCCCATGTCCTCGGCCGAGATCTCAACAATCCCATCCACCCCCAAAACAACCTGCATGCCCCTCACACATGCAGCTACATCCGTCGTACCAAAGAAAAACACCCCCCAAGAAATAGATCACAGCTGTATCCGTGAACTATCTACAAATATACACAACCCCCCACAAACCCAATCTCACATTCTCCAATCATCTTCCAGAAGCCCTCCTTCCGCACCAGGCTCGTATTTCGGAGTTATCAAAAAAAGTCTCCCCCCCTACCGACGTTCCACAATCCACGTTCCACTACCGACCGACCGTACTTTCAGCCTCACATGGCAGCGCCGCGCTAATGGGACGTGCCGTGAATACGAGAATGTATGACGGTATCGAGTAAGAAGCCAGTGCAAAAGCTACGCGTCGCGTTCGAAGCGATCAACACCGCGTACGACACCCAGTCACGTTACTTCCTGCTTCGCCCGTTTTTTTCTGCGAGGGATGCAGGCGATGTAAGACCGAGGGAGAGACCGTGCTTATCCACTGTTTTCTAGGGTTGAGAAGGGTTGGCGAAGGCTTGTTGGGTTTGGGAGGTTTGTCGATGTACGATGTACGAATCAGAGCGCATGTATTAGTACGAGATGCAGGGTGGAAAGATCTTCGAAGACTATGTTTCACGCCTGCCACGCGTTGGACACTTAGTGTCTTTTGAGCTGTTTGGGTTGGGTGGATATGTGTTTAGTAGTAGCGAAGGCAGCGGTGGCACGAGTGCGAGTGCGAGTGTTGTGATGCCACGATATGCGTTGCACATCCACATGCACACGCTACGTGACATGTATATTCGCTGATCCCTTTGCAACCTCACGGTAACATCCTCCCACTCGAACTGTTAATAGTAGCACAGCAGAGTCGCACTCGCAGTCGCAGTCGCATGCACAGTACCAGCAGATCTACCATCCAGCGGGTCAATTCCCCCCGTCTTAGATATGCCCTTATCCAGCCTAGTCCCTCCCCCAAAACCCCAATTGGGGAGTTTGGAGACACAGAAAGCATACCTAGGTATAATGTGAGGCTTAGCTCCCCGACTAAACAGTTATCGGAGGTAGGCGTGGGCGGTCGGAAGGAAGGAATGCGGGAATCGACTGATAATGACGATCGTGGGGTTGCTTCGTCCGGCAATCAGTTCAGGCAGATTCGCGGGCGAAAAGGGTGTGCGTGTGTGTAGGAGATGTCTCCGCGTGCTGATGGTTGGGAGTCGACGTAGAGTTTAGGCAGTTGGGTGTTAGCTTTCGCGAACTTGTTTAGTTAGCAGCGTTGACGGTCGGCTTTCGCTTCCAAAGCTTTTGCGCAGAAACGTGGCAATGCGACGCGGCGTTAGGTTAGAAGAGCGCCAGAAACGCCAGAACCCATCGGATCGTGCTTGTCCGAGGTGAGTGAACCAGAGGAAAACAAACTTTGGCATCGTGGCATTCTCCGCGAAAACGACGCCATGGCGATGGTAGTGAGCGCGCACAAGTTCGGGGACAGGGCCAGCCACACAGTCTAACGCAGCTCTGGTGTCCGTGCCAGACGCGAGGCTACTACTCGTTCTTTCGTTCAGCCACCCCTTATGTACGCGCGGATCATATCGTCGAGGCTTCGGAACTTTCTCCAGCATTCGGCTTCATCGCGCCTAGGTTCTTGTACACACAGTAAGTGTACATGATGCACCTACAGCAAACCGAGCGTCCCTCCGCCTCGGCTCGACATGAACAATGACCACGCTGAGGCTCACACACCCACCCACCCATGCACGCTTGATCCCCAGAATAGAAATTATCAATGACCTGTTCGGTATTAGTAGAAATCGGGGGCTGCTGCTGCTGGGGCTGCTGCTGGGGCAGCACGGCTGTCAGAAAGTAGAGATCTGCTTTTCTGCAGGTGCTGGTGCGTGAGCGCTGGCAGGGTGCCGCGAGCACAGGTGCGCATCCTTCGGCCGACCGAGCTCACGCGTTTTTTTTTTCGGTTTGGTGGTTGATCGTCACCGTCACGTTTTCTCTCTCTCCCTTCGGAAGCCGGACAAAAGCCACATCCGAGCCCCGGGCGGTGGTTGGTGGATTCCCAGTGCGGTGAACCAAGAACCCAACGTCGAGTGAGACTCGAGTCAGTCAGCGCGCTGGTACACCACGGGTAAGTGCCCGTTGCGTTCTGCCAGGTCAGAATTTTGGAGTGTCATGGTGCTGCGACAAAGAGGATACTATGGCGAGTGGAAAACCATCTGCAATCATTCGATAGTTCGCAAAGTTCCGATTCTTTTGGTGGAGGTGATGAGTGATCATTTATGCAAACGTTGCAAACCTACTCCATTTCCATGTCCTCGAGACGAGATCTCGGCATAATAGCACCGCAACAGCCCACACACGGAGGCCGTGGGCCACGGGAGAGTGGGGGACATGCCCTGGACGTCCGATTCTCAGCGGCCAGCGAAGAAGAAAAAACGTGTAGGGCGCGATGGAGACAGCGGAGCCCAAACGTTCCAAGAGAGCGGAGCCGCTTGAACAGCGTCCCTCAGGAACGGCGGAAATTTCTTGTGGGTCGCCCTCTCGCATTGGGGAGGCACGTTTGTTGGAGGGAGGAGAGGACCTCGGGATGCAAGCAAGCGCGTGCACAGAGTTTCTACTCGCCTGCCCTGGTCCATCGTCCTCCCGCTAACTCGACACCAGGGACGCGGCTAAGCAACCTGCCGGACTCCCATGATGCAACGCCTATCTGGGATGTCTGAAGCAGCTGGCCAGCAGACGACCCAAACTTTTTCAACCTGCAAGTTGCAACACTATCGGGTAGCTCTCTCTCTCTCGCGCTCTTCGGACAGACCATGGATACACCTTGTAGGAGCTCAAGTACCGAGATGCCGAGGAGATGGTTCTCGCAGTCCCAATCCAAGAACAACCCTGGAGGACCCTGGCGTGAGCACTATTAGCTAAGACGTAACAAAGTGCTGGAATTGTCGGTGAACCGCTTTGGGGTCGCAAAGCCGAAGGCAGCCTTCTTATTGACAAGCAAGTGTTGCGACGGCAAGTGTGTGATGGCTGGCGAGGGAAATGGCGAAGGCAGCGAGAAAGTGGAATAATTGCGAGAAAGTCATAGGAACTTCGCTTGCACCTTCCGCTTTGCATGCTGTGGCTGACATGGATGCCGCTCCCGTTGTCGTCGTTATGGTTATGCATTGGAATCCTTCAAACGCCTGACGCCGCACGCAAAAAACGACCAATCGACATTTCAATGCGCAACTCCCCTCGAACACACCACATCAGCCCTATCTCCTAAACGTTGACCGGTCTATACGCCAATACGTAGCCTGCCAAGCCGGAGCATTCTGTGGCGGTGCAGCCATCACAGCATTTTCGCAATCCCACACAAAACAAGGTTGGCGCCGCAGACAGACCTGTTGCGTGGCTGGTGAAGAGAACGGTGTGACGATTCGTACGCGTTAGCCAGGCTAGGCGAGTGAGCAAATCCTATCCCGCTACCCGCGAAAAGCGAAATCCAGCGCACTGGTATGACATCAAGCTCGAGCCTACTGTACGCTGTAGGTCATACCTTAGCGCGGCCGTTGTCTTTTGATCCTTAACTATCCTTTCTTGTCAGGGCTTCCTTACCTGGAAAACCTTCGTATTTCGCCTAGACGGCATTGAGAGAACTATTGCGCTGAATCGAGACTGCATTTGTCGGCAACATGCTTGTACGTAAACCCGCAGTGCTGGGTTGATAATTGATAATGGGAAGCGATGGTGGGGGATTTGGTCTTGATTGGCGGCAGGAGGCTAAAATTGGTAGCTGACCTGTCCATCTTTCACGCGAGCATGCAGGGCAGACCCTGGCCATCACATGGAGAAACTAGGACTAGGGCTGAGAAACTAAGACGGTGTTGGACAACCTTAATTCTTCTGTGCATTGCTATCTAGCTGGTGCCTAAGTATCCTTGCTCTTCTCTGTACTCGGGGAAGTGCGGACGACGCTCAATGAGGAAGACGTTTTCCCTGAGAGTGGTTGTTCGTTCGCTGCGCTATGCAAGCTTTCCGTTATGTCGTTATGTGGCGTTCTGTGAGAGCCTCGTCAGGCTTCCTCCACGCCGGGCATCAGTCCCGCAGCTCGATGCGCCTTTTCCTACAATGTAGCGAACTCCGGTCCAACTGCGGCTGACATAACAGGGGACGATGCGCGCGTTG